CAGTTGACAGTTCTTCCTTTTCTGTAATGGCCGCACTAAAATTTTTGAACGCTGGCAGCATTGACATGCGCCATTTTCTTCTTTCTCCCTTTTGACAAACGTTGACAAACGATGTGAAAAATTTCACAAATGGTGCGAAGCGTGATTTGGTGGTGATTTAAAAGCGAAATTTGCTTGAAAAAATCACATAGATTTGCACTAAAATAGTTGCAATCTGTAGAATAAGTGTTGAGCTTCAAATTGCAGTATTTTCGTCAGTGTGGAAAAAACCATAAATCGTCGAAAGATTGGCAAAAAAATTGGAGCACTTTAATTTGTCTGTCGTGTGAGACGATTGAAAACCGAGACAAAGCAACGACAGCATTTCGCCAGACACCATCAAAAATTATTTTGTTGGCTGAATTCAAAGTGAATCATATTTCCCAACATCCAACATGTCTGGCAGTGAGGATGGACAATTGCAAAGTCCTGGCTACGATAATTATGCATTAAGGTGTGTATGCTATGTCTTGAAAGACCATGGAAAATTGTTTGCCCAGTTCATGTAATTATTTCGGGGGGGGAGTAGTATGGAGACCATATTGTGTGTATAACTCGTGTCTTCAGACACAGTCACACATGTAGAATATTTGGGTTGAAGGGCAAATAAAACAAATTTCCATGGAAAAAACTTACGCATTATTTTGAAAGATTGTTAAATTGTGATTTTTAGGAAATTGAAAGAGTAAAAGCACGTATGAAATTTTTGCATATGTAATTAAAAGAAATGTGTAAAGCATGGCGCAGCTTTAGACGCAAAATTAAGCAATTTTGATCGCGCAAACTAGAAAGAAAAATGTTTTTAAACTTATGGCTAATATCAAACTATAAATCGAGTAAAACAATACTAACCTATATACATAATTGCTTAGTTTTGCAAAACTTCATCTTGTTATACAAAGAATACCAACAAAACCTATCCATAGTATGCTTATCCATTAATATCACCCAGTTTCAGCTAAACCTTGCCCCTTCCTGAACCACTTTCATTGACCCTACATCATTTCCATTTGTCCAATCTCCAGCCCATTAGGTCTAAACAATATATCACTTAATTACGTACTTTTTTATTTACTCAAGTTTTTTCATTGCTAATAGGCCAAAAAGTGTGTACATGTCCAAAGAACGATGCGCGCGATGGCCACCATCAAATCACATTAAATCTATAAAAGCTATAAAATATAAAACAAAAATTACAAATAATTCTTAAAAAATGTCATGAAAATGTAAACATGAACTCGTAAATTCCTCGTAATGTTGATGCAAAAATAATATAAATGGTATGAAGAATAATAGTCGATACAAGTGTGAAATCTTTGCGTAGCAGTCTGACATATACCCCACACATCACGTCGCATTTCGTCTAAACAGCGATGGTGCACGCGCATGATCGTCAGCACCGTAACAAGACGCTATACAAGATTCTAAGTGGCTTTGTAAGGGAGAGAGTCCAGCCTAATGTATTCCTGTTACCCTGTAAAATCGGAAGTGTGGTGTAAACCCTAGCCTATTATCAACAATATAATAATGGCTGTTTGACCAGCTGATCAACTTCTTGTCATACATTCCTGCACAGTTAATGCAAGGCAACCACAAATTAAGTGGCATGAGCGATTTTCCTCACTAGCCATGATGACGTCTACGCAGGTGGGTGCGACAGAAATATATACAGCAGCGACATTAGTGTTTGTCTGGCTACTAGTCGTCCAACTCCTCTCCCTTTTATCGCTGCCAGTAACAGCTTGGCGCTACCGCGCTGCACTACAAATAAAATAGAGTACGACAAATTTGAGCTGGACGAGAGGCTTGTTGGTGTGGTAAATTTATTTTTTTGTAAAAAAGTTTTTACATTTAATGCAACATATTTCAGTAATTTCTTTCTTCTTTACAAAAAAAGAAAAAACATTTCTATATTCACTATTTCTTCCATATAAAAACTGAGCCTTTAGGTAAATGCTGCTGATGTCGATTTACTTTTTGTGTGCCTTGGACAATTGCTTCACTGAATTGTTTAAGGGGCTTCGCGCGGTAAACAAAACTATTCAAGGTGAGTGCAAGCGAGTAATTCATAATACGTAGAAGATTTATTCAGGTCAACGTACTTATAAAACTCTATTTTTAAGGAGATGACTTGCTTGTGTAAGTATACCAGACCTACTTATTATTGTTGAATCGAATGAAGAAAACGTCAAATTTGCAAACAAAAATAAATAAAATAAAAGAAATGTGTGCTCGTATATGCTTGCAATTTGAGTTAGCAACTTAATTAAGATTAAGTGGATGTCTTTTGCTGATGGCAGAATGGCATGGAAACATAATTGCACTCAAGTTTACGGCAGCGGAAACTCTATTTAAGGTGCGTTTCATATTTATTTATATATTGCCTTTATTTCTATGCATACATATACATATATTTTCACAGATATGTACATCATCCCAGCAAACATTTGGAGTCATAAATGAGTCTTTAAGGAATCCTATTTCGGAGCCATTACGCTCATAATGAGCTCATTTAAGAGTCCGATATGAGAGTGTTTCCCTTCCTCCGAAGGTCGACATATGTATATGAGCTTAATTTCATAGAAAAATTAAGCCCCAATATGAGTCANCCAGCAAACATTTGGAGTCATAAATGAGTCTTTAAGGAATCCTATTTCGGAGCCATTACGCTCATAATGAGCTCATTTAAGAGTCCGATATGAGAGTGTTTCCCTTCCTCCGAAGGTCGACATATGTATATGAGCTTAATTTCATAGAAAAATTAAGCCCCAATATGATTCATATTGGCCTCATATACGGCTCATTTTGGACTCTTTTAAAACAATTTTTGGCCTCATATATGAATCATTTCAGACTCTTTTTGAGGCTCTTATCGGCTTTATAAATTACTACATTCGGACTCTCATTTTAGGTTGTTCTTTGAGTCTTATTGAACGCACTATATTTGCAAAGGCATTCAGCAAAAATTCCTTTCAAATAACATACATACATACTTACGTGCATATACCCATTACAGCATGCATTCAATAGCAGCTGCTGCAGCTTAATTTTGTACATTTTTTGTTTTGTAATTATTTTCGATTTCTGTATAAACAAGTTTAGCTTAATATTTATTGTTTTTATATGGGCTCAAAAAGATTCATTTTTTGGTTTTTAAAACTCATATTTCTTACCTATCTAGGACCATGATTCAATCATGCATCATGATCTAGGACTCCTTTCGGACTCATATATTCTGAACGCTCAGAATATGTTTGCGGGGATAGTACAATAATTACAGGTATTGCCTTCCCAGAGAGTTTTGCTTCACATCGCAATTCGTGCTCCCTTATTTTCATTTTTATGCAGTTCAATGTTGATTCTTGTACTTTTATTTGGTTTTGCTTTTTGGTTTCGGTCAATTTAATTTTTATAATTTTTCAAAAGAAAAATTTGAAATGAAGTGAGCCATACGAATTTTCAATTTATTTAGTAAGCAAACGGTTTTTCGGCGTACGTAGACTTTTTAGTGGCGACAACAATGATATTTTTCAAATAACTCAGATCGGAATATGCGCTCTCTGGGAAGACAATACGTGTATTTATTGTACCATGATGTACATTGGGGTGAACCAAAAATGCATGTGAAAAAGTAAAGTCGGAATTTTTATGCTCTCACCCCCTAGGATTGTTCTATACCGAAAAAAATATAACCCAATTTTTTATATTGAAATCAAAAAATATTTAGAGGTCGCTCAAAGCGTTCAAAGTCTTCGATGTATTTTAAATGGGGAAAACAACTTTTCGTAGAAATAGTATATAATTCTTGTAAATCCTCATTTTTTCAATCGGAAAACCCTGTTCCCAATTATTAGTTAACCGTTTTTGCATAGTGAGTATGTATTATAGGTCCGCTAAAACCCCCAGAAAATACTAGACAATGCAATGGGGGGATAAATGAAAAACCTGTAGTATTACAAAATGGGGAACTGAACAGTTTTATATTGTAATGTATTGGAAGTCTCCTGCAGAGAACCATAGTTTTCCGATCGAGAAATATTGATTTTCAAGAATTCTATACCATTTCTACGAAAAATTATTTTTTTCCATGTAAAATATATGGAAAACTTTGACCGCTTTGAGCGACCCTGAATCTTTTTTGATTTCAAAATAAAAAATTGGGGTATATTTTTTCGATATTTAAAATATCGACTTTACTTATTTCGAAACGTAATGTACATACACTGGCGATCAAAATCTAGTGAATGGTGATGGTTTAAATATTAAAATCCTATAAATATTAAAAATCCTAAGTCCAACTCCAGTTACGCTGATCACAGTATTTTACTGGAAAGGTGTTCCTCGCCTCGCAGACATACTGTGGTCAGCGTATCTGAAGTTGGACTTACGAGGGCTATTTTTTGATGAACAAATTACATCGACGTCGAAGTCGACAACAATTTTGTGATATATACAGCCAGATTCTGCAACTAAATTCCGAGTGAATTTCCACCCCCTACAATTTAAATTCAAAGTGAATTTGGTTGAAATTCACTCGGAAGTGAATTACAGAACTTGCCTGATATACATGGTTTTGATTAAAGCACGAATGAATGGGGTATTCACACCTATTATATACACTAAAAGATACTAGAGAATAATTTTTAACCAGATAACCTGATAACCAGACAGGTGTTAGTACCTCGAATATTTTTTATAAAATAATAACAAAAAAACTAAACTTGAAAAAACATTGTGAATATTAAAAGAATTACATTTCGCTCAGTTTTGATCAACAGTCTATCTACACTAGCCGACAAAGCGTACACCTTGTTTTAATATACATAATTTCACAATTATTTTCATGGTTTCGTTTTTTTTTTGCTTATCTATCTATAACATAAACCATGTAAATAAAAGTTTCACACTTTATATAAAAGCTGACTTCAAAAACGTCAATTGCATTGCATACGTGGAAATTATAATGTTCCATAACGTCCAACTACAAAATGTTGACAATGTATACTTTTCCACAATGCATCCGAAAAGTTTTCGAAGCGCATCGCTGGAGTAATCAGTGCATCAGAAACAAAATTGATGCTTCGTTTGTTTTTAGTTGCGATTGGTGTTGTGAAAATGAAAAATTACGAAAGGTTATTCATTGTTATATAGAATATTCAAACTATGCAATGTACGTGGTTGCAATGTTTCGCAACCCTGCATATGCAACAGTTTTAATACTTCAGTAGAACGGTATCCAAACATTGTATTGGCACGTTTTGGAAGTCAGCCAAATTCACAAATTGNATCAAAAAAATTTTTCTGACGCCTTCGTGTACACATTTTCAGACTACAACCAACCTCGCCTGACACACCCATATTCTGATACATATTCCAGTTACCTAATTTCTATGTACATGTTCAATTGAATTTTTTAAACAGATGGCAACCCTCGTACATGTTGCTTAGAAATAAATCCTTTTCAACATCATTTCGATTCGTCTTGAAATAAACGCCCCGAGACGTAAATAATATTCGTCTTGAAATAATCGTCCCGCGAGACGAAAATATATTTCTCGCAAACAATTATTATACAAAGACGAAAAAAATTCTCTTAAAACAAGTTTTTGATCCTAAATATTAGAATAATAATTATTTTCGGTCTCTGCTTTTTTTTGTAGCACCTTGTAATTAATGGAAAAATCTGGCCATAAAAGTAATTGTGAATATTATATTAGGACAAGGTGTACACTTTCGCAAGCGCTAAGCGGTTAAGTAGTATATCAAGCAACCTTGATGGGCCTTCAACAAGTACTGCTAGAAGTCTTATAAGCAGGGAACGGATTTTATGGAAATTGCCTTTTTTTGGCAAATAGTATCTTAAAAGAGAGCCTACCTGAGTTGTCAATCACACCTTGCTTAAAATATGTACATGAAGATGTATGGAGGTGCGCACACTACACCAGCTTAATCGCTTTGACCAATTTGTTGTGGTGCAAAGGACAGACTAGCGAGCCCAACTAAATCGGCGGCCGATAAAGTCCGTGGTGTGCGATGGATACAAAGCATTTTAAACAAAAACATATTGCCGTTATATTTTCATTTTTATGATTTTTATTCATGTGATTAGCAGTGGCAAAAATGTATGTATTTAATACGTATATGTACAGTGACGGGCAAATCTGTAACATGGTGTAACACTTTTACACTTTTACACTTTTTTTTTGTTACACCATGTTACAGTTTTGCTCGTAACTGTATATTACAAATGAAGTGATCAGTTATGAAACATATAAATCTTTACATGTTCGTTACAAAATTTCTAAAATAACAAGCGAAAATCCCCAAGTTCTATATCGTAGCAGTGGCCACATTGCGTGTTTGTCACAGACACGGTTCATGTCAAAAATTTTGAAGTGAAACTACCTTCTAAAAATTATTGTATCATGTAATGAAACTACATAGTTCATAGTAATTCTCTTTTTACTTGTAAAATAAAAATTTCTAAAATAAATGTATTTTTTGATAATTTTTCGGTTTTTGTCTATTTTTAGTGCCTTCTTTTGCCTCTTTTGCGATGTCTAGTGCCTTTTCCTGTATGTTTCCCTATTTTATTTTGCCTTTTCTAGCCTATTTTGTTATTTAATTTTGCCTTTTTTAAAGGTTTTTAGGTCCTTAAAGTCCGTGCCCTACTTATAAGCAACGTAGAAATAATTTTAGATTTCTCCAGCGAAAGCGAAGGCTCGAACGTAAAATCTGAAAACTTCAAAAATGCGAAATTAAAGCTCAATTGAAGGCCTATCTTCAAAAAAAACGAGCTCAACTCCTTGAAAATTGTCTCGACTGGAGGAAAACTAAACTAAAATACGACTCTTCGCATGCCCGGAAAACCCGACAACCCTAACGGCTTTGACCTTGTGGACCGACCCGATAGAGGCTGCACACTTCCTAGGGCTGCCGTTAGTGGAACTTGACGACAACGACTGAGATATCAACCGATCTGGGCGGCGGGGTTGTTGTAGCCGTTTCAACAACAACAATAACGACAAATTGACAGATCTGGCCCGCAAATATTTGAGCGCTCCACCTGCCAGCGTTCCAAGTGAGCGATTGTTCAATGCAGCCGACCTTATATACGCGCCTCTAAGAAATCGCCTCATGGGATAAAATGTAGCAAAATTACTGTTTTTGAAATATAATATGCCCTTTTGAATTTTGGCTACTAAATTAAAACATGATAGGTTCCCACGTTCCCACGACAGTCGGGTCTACGTAACCGGAGCGACCCAAATTTGTATCTGGCCAAGGACTGTCACTCCAGACACACCCCTTATAAACCCTTTGGGGAACTTGTATGCTGCTACAACAACAACAACTGTATAGGTTAAGCACTCGTTCAATGTTCTAATAATTTACAAAATTTTGAAGTAGTAAAAACGATAACTTCCTAACACGCATTCGCATTCCGAAAATTCGCGAAGGTGAAAAATATGACATTCGAAACATCCGTAATACATACTTACTCAGGCAACGTAATTTTTGAAAATTTCTTCGCTTTTCCCATAACGAATAATGGGATCTGCGATTTTAATTTGCTTTTTACTACTTATCTAGTACCGAGTATACACATATTATCAAATATTTTTACCAACATCAAAGAGATGAATTACAAGGTTGTGATTATTACAACATTAAAATATTATTGACTTTCGCAGTTATTCAGCTCAATATTTGACGAAGTTCTTTCTCAAAGGGTTTATAATACATCTATAGAGCGTGTCAGACTTGGCCATATTTTCAACTTTTCCTCGCAATTCGATGTCAAATTGAGAAAGAGAAATTTTATTTCCACGTGCGAACAGCCAGAGAGAACTTTCTGTCACTTTTCGGAAATCAGTTTCAGCAATGAAAGTTGCAAGGTGTGACCGCAACTGAAAGCGCGCAAATCGATTTCGGTAATATATCTCAACTTGCTTGTGCTGTACTAGCAATCTACAATTCGCCTTTTGGAAATCTCTTTCGAAAGACAGTTTACATGCAAGGTGTGACTGCTCATGCAATTGCTTTCTGAAATTTCTCAATTTGATAGCCTTTTCGAAATATTTTGCATTGCCACGTCTCACAGGCTCTATAGTGTCGGACAAATTTACAGGGGCCCGATATTTTCACAAGTTCTGACTATTTTTCTTTTGTTTGTTTAATTTTTATTAATTTTTTATAATAGTATTGCTCACTATCTAGCAAACACCATATGAATCCAATTTTTAGATTTTGTGCAAACATTTGCAAAATTTGACAGTTTCGTCAAAATTTCAAATGATTTAATCAGAATTTGTAGAAAATGCAGTTTTATAGGCCACTANCTGACAATTTTTCTTTTGTTTGTTTCATTTTTATTAATTTTTTATAATAGTATTGCTCACTATCTAGCAAACACCATACGAATCCAATTTTCAGATTTTGTGCAAACATTTGCAAAATTTGACAGTTTCGTCAAAATTTCAAATGATTTAATCAGAATTTGTAGAAAATGCAGTTTTATAGGCCACTGAATTTTAATATAATAAAGTGCAAGTTTGAAGTAGCAGTTTTGTAGCCCATTAAATTCCAGTATAATAAAGAGCAAGTTTCAAGTTGGTAACAAATCCCGTAGTTTTTTGAATTTTTTTTTGCTGACAGTGCCACGCATTTTTCTTACATATGTATAAAAAAATGGCGCACCTACCGTGGAACATTCTTACAATTTTTTAAAAATTTTGCCCAAAGTTTGAAATTTGGAATGATATGAAAATTTAATAGAACAAGTCAAATGTCGTGATCCTATTAATTTGCCCGACACCAGATANGCTGACAGTGCCACGCATTTTTCTTACATATGTATAAAAAAATGGCGCACATACCGTGGAACATACTTACAATTTTTTCAAAATTTTGCCCAAAGTTTGAAATTTGGATTGATATGATTTTTGCTAGATAACAAGTTACACTTTCATAAAAATTTAATAGAACAAGTAAATGTTGTGATCCTATTAATTTGTCCGACACCAGATATGTACATACGTATTTACAAATTAATGACGCTAAAAATGGTCGAGACCAATACAAAGTCGATCTGTTGTCGAAAGAGCATGTTGCCGGTGGTGTTATTGTAGTTGCAGCAGCACGCTGCACTTTCTTGGATCATTATAATATCGTAGACACGTCTATGTCCTAGTCAAACAGGTCACTAACCTCGAACCAGGGTATGCAAGCTCAACATAGCTCCGAATCATGAAGTCGTCGATTACGTAATCTTACCTATCTGACTGATTTAGGCTGATCACATTTAGTAATTACAAAACGTCAACAAAATCAATCATGAAAATGGCAGGTAAATTAATAACTTTGCCAGAAATTATTTTTAAATATGAAATACACCTTAAAATGAGGCACATTTGTTTTAAATATTTATGTATTCACAAAAGAGTCTCGTATTTCTTTACTCTTTACTAATTTACTAACTTGAAAACTTATTCGCGACTTAATCAGTCGTATATGTATGAATGTAATTAGAATTTAAATGTTGCGCTAATTCTAAATGGAAACGGTTAGGTTGCATGGAACACGCAACGTTTTCCACCTACATTTTCTTTCGTGTTACTTTTTTGGTGAATTACATATCCAATTGTTTATCTTATACTTATACTATAATAACATAGACATAAACAAAAGTACTACTACATTTTGATCATGCAAGTTTTTAATCTAGTAGACAGCAAGCTCCTTGAAGCAATCTCACGCTGACCAAGCCAGAAAAGTAAATTGACATCAAGGTGATTATTTAAGATCTCGTTGCTTTTTTATGAAAGTAAGTTATAAAAAAGTAAAAAAAAAACAATATTTTAAAAATGAACTCCCTCAAACATCATTAACTAAGAAATAATGACAAATAAATGTAACGACTGGCCATTGCAAAGCGCCAAATACGTTTGGAACTTGCACATGGAACTTCGACCGGAACAGGAGCGGTACACACGCCAACTGGGATGAATGGATGGTGCAGGCGGCGCCACCTGCTGCTGCCTATACAAAGTGCAAATGAACATCATTAACTATAGCCAACATATTGCATAAAATTATTGCCCATACATTGCATACATATTTCATTTAATTACTTTGCAAAATTTAGCATTCTACCTTTATTAAAAACATAACTGTAAAAAAAAATAGCAAATATCTATTCTCTTCCCAAGTTTTACCGATTTTATTTCATATTTTCATCATAATTAAAATTAATTAGCGGTGAGGAAGATGCGGACTCTTTGGACATCAAACCACCACAGGCCAACGTGCTGCACTCGCGTGATCCCGCTGGTTCGAGACGGAAAGAAAAATCGTCCAAGGAGAAGAAACATTCCAAAGAAAAGAAACATCGCAATGAAAGAGAGCGTGCTAGTGGCCGTGAACGTGGCGAAAGGGAACGAGATCAGCGCGAGCGCGACACCAGAGAACCGCATGGTAGAGAACGAGACATGCGCAATGATCGTGGAGGGGGCGTGCGTCCAGTCGATATAGAGCGAACCCGCGGCGACCACCGCAGAGGCGGCGAGGAACGTGAAGAAATGGCGCGCTATCATCAGCGTGGCAGTGGCTATGAACGCGACGACGGCAACCACAGAGATATGATGCCGAACAGCGAGCGCCGTTACGCGAAACACTACGAACCGCACAATAATGACATGCGTCGCAACAGTGGCAGCAGCGGTGGTGGTGGTGGTGGCGGCGGTTATCATCCACAATATCAACATCCTCATATGCCGCGGCAGCGACCGGATTACTATGAGCGCGGCTCTAGTGCTGGTTACCACCATGGTGGCCTTGATTATTACAACAATAGACATCAGCACCAGCAGCAGCAGCAACAGTATGGCGGTGGCAAGCACTCGCATATTGAGTACAATGAGGTCAGCTATGAGGTTCAGCGCGAGCGTCGTAAGTATAACTACGATGCGCAGAATGACTCGGAGAGTATTGAACAGGATTTGCGTTCACGTTTACTTAGTAAACGACATAAGTACGTAAAGAGCAGTGGCGGCGATGTTATCGAGTTGGCGGAGAGCTATGAGTCAACGTCTACGGTACAAAGGCAACGGTACGGCGATGTTGAGCGCCACGAACGTCATCGCCAAAAGCATGAAAAAGTTCGTGAATCCGTTATTGAGGTGCTTGATAGTCCGGAGCTCGTTGAGGTGGAGGGCACACAAGCCGAGGAAGGTCATCGTCAACGCCGCAAGCATAAGCATCGCAACAAGGAACGCGAAGTAATGCTGTCAGAGACGGTAATGACTACAGAACGCGTGGAGCGGCCGGAGAAACGAAAATCACCCGATGACCCAGAGATGCTGTCGCGTCGCGAAAAAATACTGGCCGTTGAGCGTGAGAAGGAGAAGCGTAAGGAGATGGCGCGAGAGGAGTTGGAGGCGCGTCGTCGAGCACGCAGTGCTTTGAGTCCAAGTGCGGTTGCAGCTTCCGTTACAGCGGGGCTAAATGTCATGAAGCGCAAGAAACAGGAAGATGTTGATGTGGAAGTGAAACGGAAACGATCCAAGAAGGCGATAGCTTCTAAGCAGCGTAGTGACGAGGAGGAAGAGGGGGAAGCGATAGACAGTGATGAGGATGACGACGACGATGAGGACGAGGAGAACGAAAGTGAGGAGATGGAAACAGAGAGCGGAAGCGGCGATAGTGAAAGTGACAGCGAGAGTAACTCTGAAGAGGAAGGTGCAATTGCGCGGCGTGAAAAACATCACCGTAAGCGTAGCAAAGCCGAGAAGAAAAAGAAAAAGAAGAAACATCGTTCCCGCAAAGCACGAGACAATGGCGTTGAAAACGAAGACAATGTCGTTCACGACGATGATGATGATGCTGAAGAGGATGACGACGTTGATATACCGGAAAGCCCCTTTTCTATAGGCGAACTTTCCAAATCCNAAAAAGAAAAAGAAGAAACATCGTTCCCGCAAAGCACGAGACAATGGCGTGGAAAACGAAGACAATCTCGTTCACGACGACGATGATGATGATGCTGAAGAGGATGACGACGTTGATATACCGGAAAGCCCCTTTTCTATAGGCGAACTTTCCAAATCTCCCATACGTCGTCAGCATCGCGCAAAGAAGCACAAGAAAAAGAAGAGTAAAAAACATGTCGAGGACGACGATGAAGAAGATGGTGAACACCGTTCATCGCGTTCGCGTACACGCTCAGCCCGCTCACACTCGCGTTCTCCCTCCCGTACACTTTCGCGCTCACGCTCACATACGCCTCGTCGCAAGAGCACACATTCACGTTCCCGTTCTCGTTCAGGCTCACGTGGCTCTTCGCCACGGCGACATGCAACACGTTCACGTTCCCGCTCCCGCTCCCGTTCACATTCACATTTTGGCTCAGGTTCAATGTCATCGCGCTCACATTCACGTTCATCATGTTCACGCTCAAGGTCACGAACACGTTCACGCTCACGCTCCGAAGAGCGTGACATGAAGTCGGCGCACAAAACAGAAGCTGAGGCCACTGCTGCGGGCACAAGGCGACGTGGAGAAGGTGATGGTCGGAATGATTCGCCTGCACGGGACGACAAAGGAGCGCCGTTGCCTGACTACTTCCCGGGCATACAGGGCTGTCGCTCCGTCGAAGAGTTCCAATGTTTGAACCGTATAGAAGAGGGCACTTATGGTGTGGTCTACCGCGCCAAGGACAAACGTACCAACGAGATTGTTGCATTAAAGCGCCTGAAAATGGAGAAAGAAAAAGAAGGCTTTCCCATAACGTCATTGCGTGAGATCAATACGCTTCTGAAAGGCCAGCACCCAAATATAGTTACAGTGCGCGAGATAGTCGTCGGTTCGAATATGGATAAAATTTTCATTGTTATGGACTATGTGGAACATGACCTCAAATCGTTGATGGAAACCATGAAGGCACGGAAACAGTTTTTTCTGCCCGGCGAAGTAAAATGTCTGACGCAGCAGCTATTGCGTGCAGTCGGACATTTACATGACAATTGGATATTACATCGAGATTTAAAAACCTCGAATCTGCTACTCTCACACAAAGGTATTTTGAAAGTGGGTGACTTCGGCTTGGCCCGTGAATATGGTTCCCCACTGAAAAAGTACACGTCACTGGTAGTCACACTGTGGTACCGCGCACCCGAGTTGCTGCTCTGTTCACCGGAATACTCAACACCCATTGACATTTGGTCGGTGGGCTGCATTTTTGGCGAGTTCCTGCAAATGGGTCCACTCTTTCCGGGCAAGACGGAAACTGATGAGCTGAACAAAATTTTTAAGGTGAGTCAAAAACCAGCAAAATATGTGGTTTTAAAAAGTTCTTGTAACTGAACGCACTGTTCAAAACGAAAAGAGATTTCCCCTTTGCCGCCCGCTTTTTATAAAATTTGTGTACCGCAGTAAAAGCTTAGTAGTTCCTTCCCTTCGTCCAGATTTAGACCTATACAATTGATTTGTTATTCCTTTACATTTTACAAAAAGTTTAAATATCTTTCCTTTATTCCTTTTCCCAGGAACTTGGCACACCAAACGAACGCATTTGGCCCGGCTACAAGGATTTACCTGCCGTCCGCAATATGTTAAGTCAAAATTCGCAATTCGCCGACTATCCTGTTTCCAATTTACGCAAGCGTTTCGCCGAAAAAACCACCGACTTAGGCATTGAGTTGCTGCAGGGTCTTCTTACTTACGATCCAAAAAAAAGACTAACCGCAGACGCGGCCCTAAAACATAGCCACTTCACTGAACTGCCTCTGCCCATCGATCCGTCTATGTTTCCCACCTGGCCGGCGAAAAGTGAACTGGGTGCGCGCAAAGCACTCGCCTCATCGCCTAAACCGCCCTCGGGTGGCTCGCAATTCAAACAGTTGGCCCGGGACGAATTAATTGTAGGTGGTACAGGTGGCAGTGGCAGCACAACAGCAGGTGCTGCTGCCAGCAATAGCAAAGTAATATCTGGCATCATAACCGGTAATAAGAAAACCGCCACGAACACTGGCTTTGTGCTTAATGCAGGCATTGATCAGCGTCAACTAGCAATGGGCCCGGGATTCAATTTAAAATTCTAACCAGGAAGTCAGGCACTGCTTGCTATTGTTCTCTCATATTTGAGTGTGAATGTGTTTATTGGTACTACAAATTGCTTTTGTAATATTTTTTTAGTGAATAACTATCCCTTCGAGAGCGAGTTTCTTCAAACACATATTTTGTTGTTACTACTTTTAAGCTGCTGTCCAAAAACTGTAAAAACCGTCAAATGTTTCGTTTTAATGCCTAATGACTATTAATCAATTTCCACTGAGAGAACCAAACGATTTTACTAACAGAAAACGTAAGAATCCGTTAGAGCTTAATATAAATTAATATTACCAGTAAATATAAATTATTATTAAAAAATCTAAGCAAATTTAGATTAAAATTTATCAATGAGAATATGTACAAATTACATGCGTTGAAGAAGTCATAGAAAATTTGTGTCTTCATAAGCGATAGCAGGTGAAGAGCATTAGTCATACAAACACATACATATGTATATATAGATGGAACAGTTTAAGTAAATCATTAGAGTGGTGACTTGTATTCACAGATCTACACAAACAAGCACATAAAAAAAAACACTCAAATACATTTTTTTCCTAGTTTTAAGAACTTTTTGGGGAGTAATAAAATGTTCTAAATGTACTAAATATTTAGCTACAGGAAGACCTATTGTAAAGGAATGTTTGCAAGAATGGAAAGAGAGCCTAAGCAGAAAAAAGGGAAATAAAAGGATATAATTTTACAACAAAATTAAATGAAAAATGTTTTATTGCAGTACTGATGTGGATATAAGCGTTAAATGTTGTTGTTCTAGCNAAAAAAAAACACTCAAATACATTTTTTTCCTAGTTTTAAGAACTTTTTGGGGAGTAATAAAATGTTCTAAATGTACTAAATATTTAGCTACAGGAAGACCTATTGTAAAGGAATGTTTGCAAGAATGGAAAGAGAGCCTAAGCAGAAAAAAGGGAAATAAAAGGATATAATTTTACAACAAAATTAAATGAAAAATGTTTTATTGCAGTACTGATGTGGATATAAGCGTTAAATGTTGTTGTTCGTTTACTTCGTACGGCCCAGATTTGTTGAAACTTTTAATTGTGGTCAAGACCCAGCAAACGTGCTGTTTCAACGGACTCGGATGGAGAGGGATGTTAGTTGAATGGATATATGTGAAAGATCTTTCCAGTTTCGTAGACTCGACTGCACATTCATGATTATTAGCAACGTCTCTATAAAAATCAAAACTTCAGTTGCCATTGTAATACAACCACTTCTGGTCAATGAGTCTTACAATTATAGCGAATTTTACCAACTCAATTTAATAGTTTTATAAAAGTATATTTTTGTTTGTTTACTACGCTTGACGGGCAATTGACCTTATTCCCTATATAACTATATATGTATACCTCACAAAAAGTAAATAAAATACATTTCACAATACATATTCTTGAACTTGTAAGCTTATATGTAATTCTAAAATGTAATCGTTTACGATCGTCACTTGCGACTAAAATTTTTATGTCGACCACAAGTAGAAGTATGTACTCTGCCAGTAGGGTACATATTCTCGTACCGGTCCGGCCACCATCTTCAGCAGTGGCACATTATCTGCGACAAATCCTAGCACACGATCTAACCGCGAGCTTGTCACCCGATCGAAAAATGGTGAGCGCATTAAATATAATAACAGATTGAGGCATCGACGTGATAGCTCTAATTTCTGTTCCTTGTGCATATGTTGACGATATTTATGGTACATACGTATGCTGATCAAATCCAATGTCAACGATATCACATACTGTTGCCAGCGCTTTTGGCCAAATACTCCCATTGCCGCTAAGTGTATAAGTGGCTTAGCTATATACAGGTACTCAGCTTGTACCAAAGAGTAGTTTATTGGCTTGCAAGCAATCATTTCTTGTTGCTCTGCGGGCAACTTAAAGTCACGATATTGTAGCGGTGGTGCACCTTCCACTCTGCGCACCACACGACCAGAGCGTTTCAATTGGAATGTAAAGTTGTTATCGCCGAATCCATTTTGTATCAAATTATTTCTTTCTTCTACTACACCTTTTTTCAGAGCGGATTTTTGTTTTTTGATTAGTGCGCGACGATTAAGCGCAGGAAGTGCTGGTGTAGTGATTATTTTTTCAGTAGAGTGCTTAAGTATGAAAAAGCGACCAGCTGCTTTGGCAAATTGTACCACCGCTACGAATATCCACTTACCGCTATTACCGAAAATACGTTTGGCCGAAATCTCAATCAAAACCTCACAGTACTCCAATGTAGTCAACATGACCTTTAGTCGATAAACATATTTTTCCTTTTTGTTGTTGCTACGTGCTACAACACTTGTACTAGCGTCGAAGTTCACTCGTGCCAAATCAGACAATAGATTGTTGTTCCTCGACTTGTCGATTATGCGGTCATTGTAGAGCACCAACATATTGGATAGAGTGTATACGAGCTCGGAGACAACATTTGAATCAGAAATGCGTCCTAAGAGAAAATTCATTTTATTGGTGCAAGCGGATATGCAATTAAGTACATACCAGCAATAAAATACGACACCCATTTTGTTGTGGTTTCTACGTCGCATACAGTTTCGGGATTTGCGGCCACCCATTCCTCATACGATTTTATCAGTCTCTTCAAATTTTCCATGGTGTTTTCAGCTTTTCTGAGATGGTCTCTGCTGATTTCGAGCTAGTCTATTTTAATAGTTTTAATCTAATCCCAAACTGAAATACTAAAGGTGGAATTAGTCATGAACGCAGAACTTATACTTAAGTTGAAATTAGTCAAGAACGCAGAACGTATACTTAAACGCTGTCTGAATACGCAGAATTTTGTCGATTACTGGAGCCCTCAGTGTTGCTTAATACAGTGTTGCCACTCATCAATGCCTTTTCATAAACTTACCTTTTCAACTAAAACTTTTCGTGCTATAATAGATGCTAGCTTAATATAAACTAACTTTCAACCAAAAACCTTATTCGATAGTAAACGTCAAACATTTTAAACATATTTTGAAAAGGAACTTATAACTTGTTTACCATCTGCAAAACTGACGAAGTGGCAACCATCTATAGAAGGAAGAAATCAGCAGCGGTGTTGAGTTTTCATTTTCATGGCGTTCTGGTAAGACAGATCGTGGCACTAACTCGCGTTTACGTAATGGTAGGTTTACATTCCCGACTAATTTCACCTTAAAAATAGCCAACTCCGCCACTGTTTGAATTAACAATAAAAGGCCCTACACACGGATCGATTTATCGGCCAACCAGTTGACCAACCGCTAGAAGTTGTTGGTAAATAAGCCATGTGTAGGCAAGTTGGAAAACCTTCGTCAAGTTGTTCGTCAGGTTGGAGAAAAATCAGAAAATTTTTGAGGTAGGTTGGTCAACTTGATGCTCTGTGTGTAGACAAGTTGGCAACCTAAAATGCGATTTAATTTTTTTAATGGCGCATTAACGTTAAAATGTTTTTTTCAGGTTCGTTTCGCTTGTGAAAATGCGTATACTTTATAAAAACGGGGGCGGCAGCAAAATCAAATACATAAAAATGCGAAGCATTCGTAGCATAGCATAAAAGTTTACCAGTGCTGTTGTGTTGTTGACCAGTGCTGTTGTGTTGTTGACAGTTCAAAAACTGTCACTCAAATGAAATCGGCCAACCAGTTGGTGCGTTTGTAGGGAATTTCGTTAAGTAGGTTGGTCAACTGATTGGCCTTGAAATCAATCCGTGTGTAGGGCCTTTAAGTCAACGGTCGACTGATATATCGATCTTTAAAAAGGCATATCGATATGTATCTAGACTAACAGTTTGAGTGCTCTTGTAAACAAAGGCTTTCCAACCCCAAACAGCTGATTGCTGATTGAATTCTTTCGGACGCGCGGTTTGTTTTTACGTCTCCCGATTGGTTTGGTAAATTAGTGACAATATGAGCGCAATCAACTTTGAAATAAGATTAAATAAGGAGAATAAAATATATCACGAAGGCGTATGAAACTAAGAAATCTGACAAATTAATATTTACTCACCAAAAACCTTTCAGGAGCTGTTAAGAGGCTGCGTGCATTTCAACTGCCCATCAGAGGCAAAGCATGACGGCATTTTGCTGACACTGGAGGGCGTTGTAAACTTGCAGTTAAGCACAAAAAATGTTGGTCTTTTTGATGCATTTTACAATTCTGTTAAGCCCATAACACTACTTAACACAACACTAGAGTTGGCAGCGCCTGGCAAATTGGCTTCTGGTAATTCTGAATTCCACTTTGAGCTACCATTGGTCTGCAACAAGGAACCTCGTGTGCTTTATGAAACATATCATGGCGTTTTTATTAACGTTAATTACCAGTTGCGATGTGATGTAAAACGTAGCTTTTTAGCTAAATCGTTACAGAAGACTCAGCAATTCTGTATACAAAATAAGCCAACGCCGTTGGATACCAAAGCTCTGACCAACACAGAAGTGAATTTCAGTATAAGTCCAGAGACATTGCAAAAGACTGCAAAGGAACGTATAAATATACCACGATTTCTAATAACTGGCAAACTAGATCAGACCGAGTGTTGTGTAACACGGCCATTGACGGGTCAGGTTTGTGCAGGTGTAAAAAATGTATCCTCAAATATTTAACTCTTATTAATTTCTAATAGTTAACCGTACAGCACTCGGAAGTAGCTATAAAATCAATTGAGCTGCAATTAGTGCGTGTGGAGACCTGCGGCTGCGCCGAGGGCTATTCCAAAGACGCCACAGAAATTCAAACCATACAAATTGCAGATGGCAACGTGTGCCCAAAGTTGGAAATACCCATTTATATGATATTGCCGCGTTTATTTACGTGTCCGACATTGATAACAAAGAATTTCAAAATAGGTAACTATTCATACATATTATTGAATATTCCGAAGGTGTTAACTGCAATTTTCTTTTTCAGAATTCGAGTTAAATTTGGTGGCGATTTTCAAAGATGATTACGCTATAACTGAGAACTTTCAAATAGTTCTAAAACGTACAGCGCCACCTGCAGATAGTAAACTAAACAACCGAGGCATTTAAATTGGAAAGTCTTTGCGTTTAGCATGCATTCCGAAATAAGTTCGAAGCGGTTTATTTTCGTAGAGCAATCATACCTATACATATGCGTATCAAATTACGAGAATAAGCAATTAAATACTAGAAATGCATCATGTTGTCATTATCATATATGACGTTATATTTCAAAAGTGGAAGCAATTAAATTGAAAACCAAATGTAACCGCATTTGGAAGATTAATTTACAGAAAAGCAGCCAAGTAACGTGCTGAAATAACAGCAGTAGCAATAATGATATATCGCTTCATTTACATTCACAAATTCATACTTCTTTCAATTAAATCATTGGAAATTAAAATCCATCATTCAGGTCTAAATACTAAAATTATAAGGTATGTAAGTCCGCATGAAAAATTTGTAGGTTGTAGTTACTCCGTAAATATATATTTTTTTTATATACACACATACATGTCGCTGGCTTGGAGTGAAAAAGCTGCTAAGTCCAACTCTTTGGAGAATTCACCTTTGATGTAGGAGGCGAGGAAAACCAAAAACGCATAGTTGCGTTTCTATCTAATTCTGTTCAGTGAAACTCAAATTTGCTAAGAGCAAAGGGATACGGAAACCTTTAATATGCGTCGAATTCTATCGTTTGCTTTAAATACGCAAAATTTTTAATACAAAATTTTAATACATACTTCAAGAATATTATTTTGGGAAGCTTTTCCCTCTGCAGTAAAATTAAAAAAACTGGACTTAGCAGCTTTGCACTGTAAGCTAGCGATATGTATGTACGTGTTTAAAATAGGCCTTAGGAAATAAAATATAAGCGATTGCTTTTTCTTAAAATTTCAGACCTTTTACTTAATATATTTTTTTAAGTTTGTGCTTTATAATTACTGTTGCACTATAAAATAGAGCTTTAAGTTCTTATTGTACTAATGAATTTGTTTAATAAATGAAATCAAATGAAATTTGTTCGAACAAATCAAGTAAAAGGTCTGAAATTTTAAGAAAAAGCAATTGCCTATTTTTTATTCATAAGGCCCAATGGCTTTAAGAAGTATTTCCCCCATAGTTGCCATCTTGGTGCTTTAAGCACTAGATTTAGTGCTTTTTGAAAATTAAAATGCAAAAAAAAAATATTTAGTGGCTAGTGCTTTTTTAGTGCTTTTTTTCTGAACTAAAATTACTCCGATATAGTTAAAATCTGAAATAATTTTTAAATATTTAAAGCTGTGGCGGCACTGAATTTACAAAAGTCTACAAATTTAAATGCACTTAAATACAACCATGATTGATAAAAAGCTGAACTTGCAAACCCGCCTTGTTCAATTCTATTCGCGTTGAAAATGCTAGTAGATATGCGAGTAAGTTAGTTATTTTTTTTTGCTCTACTTATTTGTAAAAATTTGTATTATTGTACCACCTGAGTAAAATACATCGTTTCTTGGTGCTGAATCAAAATCTGGCCGCACAATTGCTCTACCACTAGAATTTTGAGATATCCTAACCTCAAAGTGCCAATATCACGGTTTTTGGCGATATTTGAGGTTATATAAGGAAAACATATTTTTTTTGCTCATTTCTACTTAGGGCATGATTTTCATTTGTTGGGATTCGATTTTTCTTTCTTGAGATATATCAGTTTTAATGTGCAGTACTTCGGTATTACGTCGTAGGCATGACGGTATTACGTTATAGCATGTAGCTTTTCAATCGTTATGAGCCAAAAAGTTTTGTGTATTGATTTATGTATGCATTCTTGTAAATATTATTAATTTTTCGCTTTTGTTAAATACATACAAACTGTTATGAAAATAGCATCCATTGATTCAAAACCATTTGGTGCTTTTAGTGTGGTAAAACGCTTTTTTCCATGTTTTTGGTGCTTTTTGAAAAGCAAAAAATGGCAACACTGATTTCTCCCCTGAAATTTGTAAAAATGTACTCAGCAACTTTTCACTATTAAGCTAGTGATATAGCAGTTTTAAATAGAGTCCACGAACGAATAAAGAAAAAATTTAAAACTATTTGAACCACAAAAGTTCCTTTGTATTTATATTTTTGAACTGATTATAATTCAATAATTATGTACCAAGGCATAATGCCTTGACTGTGACACATTTTCACTTTTCTACATACAAACACGACCATGCACTCTTAAATTAAACGTAATATAAAAAATAACTAAAAAGATTTGCCATTGACAACATAGTTCTAACACAAAACGTCCTCCGACCCCCAATCACCGTTATTCAGTAATGTTTTTAGCATTTTTATGATTTTTATCATTCAGATGCTCGGCATCTTGTAGCGTTGTAGGTAGCACCTTATCAGTTGTTTCTGGAAATAGTAGAGTTAAGGTGCCGCTAATCAAAGCAAAGATGGCGAAAAGTATTTGAGGTGCGTACTCATAGTAATTGGCCTATCAAATGTACCAAAAGATTTATATTCATTATTATATTTATATTCAAACAAAAGATTTTTTTTTTGTTCATACCAAGAGCGGTGCTTGAGGCGCCAACATCGAACCGATGCGTCCAACCATAGAACAAAATGATAGCAAACTATTGCGAACATTGGTGGGGAATATTTCTGATGTGAAAAAGTATAAAATCTGAAAACTACATGTAATTGCAAGTTTTCCTATTAAAAATAGCACCAATTCGGCAGCAGCGTGATCTGCAAAATATATGAACATAAATATTGGAAACTCCTTAAAATATGTGCAGTTGAAACTTTGCGAACTTACTTCTCCCCACCAACGCTGTGATGCCCATACAGAGTGCGCATAACAGCATGGAACCACAAAGCGAGTAGCGGCGACCAATTCGATCCATAATCACCAGTGGCAAAATTAATCCCGGCACTTGTATTACGCCATTCAGCTGGAAATTCGTGTATTTATTGCCACCCAAAGTGACTGAGGTAAGACTCAGTCCTAAGGCCACCAAAGTATGCGTAAACCAGCACAAACAACAATTTAATATACGCCAACGGAACATTTTCAAAGCCTTCACTATAGGATAATGACTTTCACGTGCCTCTTCGAGTTTTGCCTGATTTTCTTCCACCAAGGCTTTAAGATCTTCCTCTGGTATTTCGCGTTTATTTATGCGTGCAGCGCGTTTTAATATACGTGTAGCCTCCTCCTCTTTACCCTGGCTTAATAGCCACCGTACACTTTCCGGTAGTATAAAAAGGAAGAGTATCTGCAGAATTGCTGGCGCGTAGAGTACGCGCAATAAATTGCGCCAATTTTGGAATTGCTGTGCTAAAACGCCCAATAGGGCCTCACCCAACGAGTAGAAAATTGTGATGATAGTAGCTGCGGCAACGCGACGCTTTGGTCCTACCAACTCGATGGCCAGTAGAAAGGCAGTTGGAAAGAGTGTACTGCCAACGGCCATATCGACGAATTCAAATACGATGAACATATAGTAGCTGCTCGATATGGAACGCAATAAACCCATTATTGCGCTGAGAAAACCACCTACGGCGAGCATCGTGCGACGACCTAGGCTGTGGGTGGGGATAAAGTGGGGAAAGGGAAGTTAATTTAATGTTTCCTAACTGTAAAAATAACGATTTCGAAATAAGTTGATAGATCAAATTTATTATTCATCGATAATCATATCACCAAATATCGATTAATCGATAAAAACATCACTAATTCTATTATTTAATATATCGGCAACGGTATCGATATATATAAACTTCAATAATTATATCGATAAATGTGAATGAAGATGGCACAACGCCGAAACCGGTTTGTCTCCAAACCAAATTTGACAAGGGATGACGGAAAATCGTTCCACAATACATCGATAAATGTCGTTATCGTTATCACCAATTTACATATTTACTCAAAGCGCACATAGTATGTAGAGCATATTTCTCGATATTTCTATATACAAATTTGTTGATACAGATAGATCCTAGGGCTGGGAGTTCTATCCGGATTTTTTTGAATATCCGGGTAATAAAATTAACAGATATTAACCTGATATCCGGATGTCAACCGGATATTATTTCTCGATGCGTATAGTCATTACAAAATATAATTTCCGATAAATTTATCGATATCTTTATCGATTTTATCTCCGATTTCTTATCGATATGTGATATCGTCAAATATCAATGATAACACCGTGCGACAAAAACCAATAATTTTCAAAACACAAATTTGTTGATACAGATAGGTCCTAGGGCTGGGAGTTCTATCCGGATTTTTTTGAATATCCTGGTGATAAAATTTATTAAATATTAAACTGATATCCGGATGTCAACCGGATATTAACTGGATATCCGAATATTAACCGGATATCCGGATATTAACCGTATAATAAGAAAATTATTTCTCAATGCGTATAGTCATTACAAACTATAATTTCCGATAAATTTATCGATATCTTTATCGACTTTATCTCCGATTTCTTATCGATATGTGACAAAAAACAAACATTTTCAAAACACGAAAAAATCAATACCTATATTCACAAACTAGGAGCCAAATATAGTATAACTGCGTTTTTAATTTTTCCCTCTGACGTCAGCATTTTTTTTAAAGGACTTTCAAATTTCCAGGATATGATTGAATAAAAAAATTATTTAAAAGATTTGGTGCACTGCTGAGTAACAATATGGGTCTCAGTTATAAGGAAAAATTCTGTAGAATTAAAAAAAAAAATTAATTTTTTGTAGCACCAGGACGAATAAGTGTAGAAAATGTCCTTTTAAAACATTATCCTTGAATATCCTTGGAAATTTCCAATATTTATTTTTGAAAAAAATATATTTCTAGGACTAATATGGTAACTACTACATCCTCGAATTTCGTTCATCTAACTTGATTAGTTTTAGATAAAAAACTTTACACTTCTCTTTATAAGACATTGAGAGTTAAAATATACATAAATGAAGACACTAGAATCATTACAGTGTACGCAATTTAATTTAAAAAAATTTTAAACCGTATATTTCAAACAATTTTGAACTGATTTTGAAAAAGTTGGTATCGTTGTAAACGTGATTGGACCCTCTTCTTTTCTTCTGATATGCATATTTGTATACTTTGTATATAAAAATTTGAGAAAAACATTTAAAAGGAAAACAACAATATAAAACAATATTTTAAACAAAAAAAATACTAAGCGATTTTTAAAAAGTTGCAATCAAACTTTCTTTCTTCTGATATGCGTATTTGTATACTTCGTATAT